TGGCCACCGCAGAGGATAATCAACGGTGCCATATCTGCTGCATCGAGCAGGGTGGATAAGGGTTTGGATGCTACTGCTCAAGCCTTCCCGTCTTCTTATTCCCCCTGTTGTGCTCTTTCACTCTTATCGTCCCGTTCCAGCTTCACTTTTATCCCACCCTCTTTTCAAACCCCAATTCTCGGCCCTCCCTCATCTTGCTTCAGTAGTCGCTTGTCTTTTAGTTTCAACTCACAGGTGAACGCAGAGTGTCATTCATCCCCTGTCAACAGGCCCATGTCCAAGCAAGCGGCCCATTCCAGTTCATCGGCTTCCATTTGGAGCCCTCGATCCTCCATCAGACTGGCATGCCTCAATGTTCGCACATTGCTTCAGATCGGCCAACAGGCAGCGCTTGCCCGAACATTAGAGACCCTCTCGATCGATATCTCCTGCTTATCAGAGACCCGCCTGCAAGTCCCGAGCTCTGTGGTCACCCTGCGATCCCCTTCAGGTGACATCAGTAGCACTTTCTCATTGCGCCTATCAGGTGATGATGCAACTTCGAGCATCCGCCAAGCCGGTGTTGGTATTGCCTTGAGTACCCGGACTGAAGCTACTCTGGCTGACTAGATCCCAATCAGTAGCCGGTTGTGTGCGGTCCGATTGACTGGCTCGTTCAAAGCTTCGAAGTCGCGCGGGACTAACAGGTCTATTCGTCGTCGCTGCCTATGCACCGACAAACTGTAGCGATGATTCGGTAAAAGACGACTTCTATCGTTAACTGAACGAGCTCCGTCGCCAAAGAAGAAGCTCGGACACTATAGTGCAGGCTGGGGATCTGAACGCTCAAGTTGGAAAATTATCCATTGATGAACTGCATCTGGGTGGCCAACATGGTGTAGTCTCTTGCAATGATAACGGTGAGCGGTTACTTCACTTGTGTGAGGATGCTCACTTATTTCTTGCGAGCACTAATTTCCGACACAGCACCCGCCGCAGGGTGATTTGGCGCCCATCAGCTCCGAACCAGCTATGGACACAAATCGATCACATTGCGATAACTTACTGATGGAGAGGCTGCGTCCAGAACTGTTGCTCGATTTGGAGCACAGGTGTGGATACCGACCATGCACTTGTATGTGCTGACCTGCGGATGCGCTTTGGCGGGCGCCCACGACGACATTGTGAGCGCATTGACACCAGTCAACTGGCGAATCCAGCTGTTTTGAATGCCCATCAAAGTGCGCTATCATGCGAGTTGGATAAACGCTCACTGGATGCAATTGAAGCTCACTGGTCTCATATTCACCAGACATTACCATCAGCAGGAAAATCCTCATGTGGTAAGTCTAATCGTCAACATATACATTGGGTCTCTTCACAGTCTCTGGAACTTATAGATGCTCGCCGGCATATTCCGGCTGGAAGCGCACACAATGAAACTCGCAAAGAGCTCCGGGCAAAACTCCGTGCTAGCCTGAAGACGGACCGCGAATCCTGGTGGTCTCATCGTGCATCAAAAATGGAAATGGCTGTTGCCCTTGGTAACCATGGTAAGTAATTCCGGCTGATACGGGAAACGGGCAGCGGGAGACCTGGTGTTAGTGCAACTATACGTGACGAGAGTGGACAGCCTATCCACAAGTTACCAAAACGATTGGAACGTTGGGCTAAACACTTTAATGGGCAATTTAATCGATCGGAATGGTTAGATTTCTCGCCGGCCAGTGATTGCCCCGCTCCGTGGGCTGTCCCTTTGGATCCATCCTCTCGCTCAGAAGTCGAACGTGAGATCGGACCGTTAAAGTTACATAAAGCCGCGGGACCCGATGATCTTCCTCCAGTCCTCTTCAAATTTGCGGGACCTGCTCTTGTGGATGATTTATACGAGTTACTAGTCAAGCTGTGGGAGCAGGAAACTGTCCCAACCGATTGGAGCTGCTCCATCATAGTCCCAATTTTCAAGGGAGGCTCATGATCGGAATGCGGCAGCCATAGAGGAATTACTCTGATCTCCATCGCCTCCAAATTGCTTGCCTCTGTCATCCTTCACAGAATGACTGGCACTCGTGAAAGCCAGGTTCGCGAAGAACCAGCTGGATTTCGTCGATGTCGTGGTTGCATTGACCACATCTTCATCTTGCGTCAGTTGTTGGAGCACCGTCACATATATTGGCGGCCCACCGTCGTCGTGTTCCTCGATATCAAAGGTGCATTCGATTCGGTGGATAGACGTGCACTTTAGGGTTGTCTACTCAGGAAAGGTGTACCTGAGAAATATGTGAATATTATCCGAGCATTATACGCTCGTAGCTCGCGCAGAGTGAGGGCTTACGGCAAGTTGTCGTCGCCCTTAATATCTCCAGCGGCGTGAGACAAGGATGCCCGCTGTCACCTTTCCTCTTCAAGTTCGCTATTGACGAAGTCATGGATAGTGCGTTCACAGGACACGACTTTGAAGGTGTGGACCTGCTCCCAGGAGAACGACTTCTTGATTTAGAGTATGCTGATGATATTGCCCTAATCTGTGACTGCTCACAAACGTGTCAAGCGGCACTGGACAGATTAGCACTAGCTGTCCGTCACTTCGGGCTTTGCTTCGCACCAGCAAAGCGCAAAGCGTTCCTCTAAGGTTGTCCTAGACCGCCTCCTTCGCTGTCCCTTAGTGGGGATCAGCTAGAAGTCGTTCAAAAATTCAACTACCTGGGAAGTTGTATCAGCGCCCGTGGGATTGAGGATGAGATCACTAACCGTATAGCAAAAGCTCGGGGCGCTTTTGCTAACCTTTGCCACTTATGGCGCCGACGCGACATCACTCTTGCCCTGAAGGGTAGAGTGTACAATGCAGCGGTACGTTCGACCCTACTGTACGGTTGTGAAACCTGGTCGCTTAAAGCAGCGGACCTGAAGAGGCTAGTTACGTTCGACCACCGGTGCCTTCGTACTTTAGCTCACATCTGGTGGGAACACCGCGTGAGCAACGAGTGCGCTCGACGCCTTGTTTACGGCACAGGAAAAGGAAATGATCCGCTCAGCACCGTCATTTCACGCACCAGGCTCCGATGGCTCGGCCACGTGTTACGCATGCCAGCCCACCGACTCTCGCGACGTGCGTTGTTTGCGTACCGAGGGTGTTAATGGAAGAAGAGGAGGGGTGGCCAAGTGATGACTTGGTCCAGGAGATTGAAGGCCCTCACTTCTGTGCTGGCCTCAGTTGGAGCGTCTCGGCTCCCTGGTTGGGGTCCGAAAGACGATGAACACGTTTGATTGGACACACTAGTTGTTATGTCTAGGAGTCTACCTAAGTGGCATCCGTGCTGTGAGTTTCTTTGTCCCACCCCACCCCTCTTGGCCTCCCCCTCCAACCACGATTACATTAGTTAGCCTTATATAATTTTGCATAGTAATTTTTTTAAATTACAATAGCCGGCAGCTAGCTTACCGGAACGATGCCCATCCGTTACCGGTCGCTCAGCCGGTTTGCAACGGTTGCTTTTTTCCTCCTTTTTTCTGTGTATTGCGGCACAGTAGCTGAGGTGTTTCCCACCTCTAGCTAACGTGTATGATGATGATGATGATTATGATGATTATGATTATGATGCAGCAGCAGCCACTAAAACACGTGGCCGTAGCCGTAAGGTTGGCGATTGGGACTGGAAGGGGGTGGGAGAAATAAACAGGCGAGAATTAAGGGATCCATAAGTATCAGAGTTTGCCTACTCGCTAAACTTCGCAGTAGATATAACGACCCAAGTACAAAGGTTTGACAGTCAAATGTTGTTGAAACGGCCATGGCTGCACGCGGGATGGGATGCTGCATCCCCCCCCCCCCGCCATACACACACACACACACACACACACTATACACGTTAGCTAGAGGTGGGAAACTTCTCAGCTACTGTGTCGCAAACCTAAAAGAAAAAGAGGGAATAAAATGCAACGGGTGCAAGCCAACTGAGATACCGGTAACGCATGGGCATCGTTCCGGTAAGCTACCTGCCAGCTACTATGCAGCAGAAAAAACAAATTACTATGTAACATTACAAAATGTTAAATAATGAGATCATATTTGGAGGGGGAAGCTAAGAGGGATGAGGTGGTAAAAGAAACTCACAGCACGAACGCCACTGAGGTCGGCTCCTTGCCATATCAGCAAGTGTATCCAACCAAACGTGTTCATCGTCTTTCGGACCCCAACCAGAGAGCCGAGGCGCTGTAACTGAGGTCAGCTTCGAAGTGAGGGCCTTCATTCCTCTCGACCAAATCATCGCTTGTCCTCTCCCACTCCTCCTCTTCTAACCACACCCCCGGCGCGCAAGCAATGCACGTCGCGGGAGTCGGTGGGCTGGCATGCGTAACACGTAGCAGAGCCATCGGGGCCTGGTGCGTGAGATAACGTGATACTGCAAGGGTGTTCATACTGTAGAAGGATGATTAGTGTTTACATTCTAATCTTTTGTTTCAAAAGATTATTCATGAGGCAGCGGGGACACGATAAGGGAGAAACGAGAACAATTCCAGTTCCAAAGCCCAAACTGAAGTACCAGGGGATCGAGTTTGTATGACGTTGAATAACATGGTGGGAGTTCATTTCTCAGAGCACCAGAGCGCACCTCCCTGTACAGTTTATAGGCGAAAGAGCTTCCCAAATTGTGCTTCAGATAGTTAACAACGAACGTGTTGTCATAACTTTCGATCGACGGCTGAATCCCATCGCAAAGGCTTAACCCTGTTATAGTACATGCGCCTTCCTGGTCCAAATTCCACCTTAACACACGTGACTAATATTTTCTCTATTTAGCCAATCGATTTGCAGTTGCATACTTGACACAGTTTCTGGAAAGCCAGTGTAGCAAATGTGCCAATATGAGGCCAAGGTAGTTTAGTTTCTCAGTAATCAGTCGTCGTCATTTTGTGTGATGCAGATTGGTGGTGGTTTATCTGTTAACCTGCTTTGCGGATGACACCGCATGCTGGAAACAGCGAACTCGTCCACCACAATGCCCACCGTTAGACCAAGGCTATTCCCCCGCCCAGCATTTTCGTTACCATCATGCATGGGCGGAAGTGCATACTTGCATCACGTGGTGTGATCGATCGCGTGTTTCAAGTCGAAATCACGTGATGTGACTGTCTATAGATAGCTCTGCGTAGAGGGAGGAAAATCCGGCGGTACATGAAGGGACATACGTCAGCCTTGCACAGCCTGATGTTTTGATGCGCACTGCCAGGGCAGATATGGGGATTAGCATCTCAAAAGCCCCACGATGCGGAAAAGACCTAAGTCCGATAGCATCCGAACAAATGCAACCCATTTGTGGAACAAACACGGTAAGAACACCGGAATCACAACGAAACGATAATGCCACAAAATTGATGGAGCAAAGGAGAATGAGATTATTTTCTCCCACACAAATAAGCACATCATCGTCTTCTCTAACCAGTTTGACGCAATGGCCCAAGCTGGGTGGTTCTCCGTTGGCGGATTCCACAGAAGCATCGGATCGAGACAGTCCGTTTAAAAGTGAACAGTGCTGGCAAGATGGTGTTTACGGTAAAGTGAGTTGCGATGCACGATCCAAAACCACTCCGCTCACAAGACCACCATGGAGACCGAGTGCGGCATCAGCCAATTGGAAATGTTGGGAATGCCATGGTGGGGCCGGGATCGATAGCAATCACCAATTACCTCGGTTGGTTAACATGGCTGGAAATGCAGCACGGTATAAGTATGGGAGAAGAAAAACCATGTCATTACAATCGGTATCGTGCATAGGAGACGTGCGACTACAAACCGGTGAGGCACATCTACGGCGCTGTTCTGCAGCTCAACAAGTACAAGCAATGCGACCAGATGTTCTTGATACCATGAGTCTCAATGGCCAATGGAGACCGACCGTACGCAGAGTTGAAAGGGGTGCAGTTCGCAAGGATACACATTCTCAACCAGCGCCGTCCACGATGAATTGCAAGAAAGAATTTGGGCTCAAGTCAAGTGAGTGGGTACTTCATTAATTGGTCAATAAAAGTCTACTGGAACGCCTTAGGGTGATGTATGAATGCTGACCAGTCTTGAACCTACGGGAACGTAATTGTTGGGTCTAGTAGATGGTACTCACTGAGAGCCACATGCGGCACTAACGTTATTATAACTAACACGTAATGCTGGTACTGACGGTACAGGCGAAATGCTGCTGGGTTTTAAACATGAGAATGAGATGGTCGGACTTTTCGACAGTATCATATAATACATTCCACCATCGGTTGAAATACCTGGCATGTCAATACGTAAGCACTACGCAGTATCAAGGTGCAGCTTACTTACATTATATATATATATATATATATATATATATATATATATATATATATATATATATATATATATATATATATATATATATATATATATATATATATATATATATATATATATATATATATATATATATATATATATACATACATATAAGCAACAGTCTATAAGATATCGAAAACTATGAAACGGAAGTAATAAATACAGAGCCCACAAAGAAAAGGATGAAATTTACAACAATGTTTCTGTTTTTGTATCTTTTCTTTTTGTTTTCCTTTCACATGATGTTTTATCTTTTGTTTGTCTGTTCAGTGTTTGCGATGTAACTCAAGGAAATAAAGACAAAGATTTGTACACATTTTCCATTTGGCCCGGTTCTGTGCCATCTCCAAAAGTGTTTCCAGGTAGCGGGGTCCTTCATCCTTGATCCCCCAGCCTGGAAGAGGCACGGGATCTACGACAGCTAAACTGAACGTCAGCTCTTTAATCGTTTGTCGCCACGTGATAGGCTGACCACTGCGCGAGTTCTTCTAGCTTGGTCCTGTGTGAGCGAAGAGAACGCGTCGGGACAGCCGTTCACATCGCTTGCGTAAAACGTGGTCCAGCCACGGTCTCAGTAACCGAAATCATAGCAATATCACAGGGATCGAAGTCATGGAGATTTGTCACGTAAATTAGATGACTAGATGCATGATTGTAGACGCGTGCGTAACAGATAGGATCGATTTACAAGAAATGCCAAATCAGAGATTGTGGGCGCTCTGATGCGCAATAAGAAGGGCTCGTTTTGCGACACTTTCAACATCAGTTCAGTTAGCCCCCTACTTCCGGGCATCTTGCTACTCAGGTGATGTATGCTGAGCCATGGACGGTTAGTTTGAAGTCTCCGTCGGAGGCTGAGATCCGAAACGAGATCGCAGCCCTAAAACATTTTCGTTCTGCTGAACGCGATTTGCCGCACCTGGACAGCCCTCTTGTACGATTGTGAAAGCTATGCCATCAGGTCGACAGACATTAAGAGACCAACTGCGTTCGACCATCGCTGCCTTCGCAGCTTAGCTCACGTCTGGTGGGGGCACCGCGTGAGCATTGAATGTGTTCAGCGTCGCGTATTTGGTGCAAGAAGAACGAGTGAACCACTCAGCACCATTATATCACGCACCAGACCCCAATCGTTCGGTCACGTATGACGCATACCGGCCCACCGAATCCCGCGACATGCATTACTTGCGCGCTGGGGGTGCGTTTGGAAGAGGAGGAGTGGAAGAGGCCAAGCGATGACTTGGCCGAGAGAAATGAAAACCCTTACTTCGAATTTGGCATCGGTTGATGCATCCCGACAGCCGGGCTGGGGTCCTAAGGATGATGAACACGTTTGGTTGGACACGCTTGTTGATATGACGAAGAAGCGGTCCCAGTGTCGTTCGCGTCGTGCGTTTCTTTGTTCACCCCCTTTTTCTTTGGATTCCCCCTCCAATCATGCTCTCATATCTAATATCTGATATAAGATTTACTATTATATCACTCACCATTTGAATTTTTGTACTGTCCTTTTTGTATTACAATACATTAGCTACATGTTTCTCACGCTCGGCTACCGTGAATCGGCGATGAGGATGATGCACCATTAAAGGTTGGTGAGGTCCTCTGCAAAGCACTGACCTTCCGATTCGAAAAGATCTGGAAGACAACACCCCGGCTACCCGGAGTGAACCGATTATAATGGCACTATACAAGAAGCGCAGTCGCACCGACTGTGCTAACCACAGGGCTATTAGCCTAACACAAGTTATAGTCCAGTGCCAAAATCGCGCTGCCTTGCGATAAGGTTTTTGATCCAAAGGCTTTGGTTGAGAACCCTAATCGTTCTCCTGTCTAGGCCTTAGCAGTCTGACAGTAGCCTGCCCACGCAATACACCACAACGTTTCCTTCTAATAATCTCTTAATGCTGTGGCCGTCACAGATGATAAAAAACGGCACCCTATCTGCTGCATCGAGCAGGGTGGATGGGGATTTGGATGTTACTGCTCAAGCCTTCCCGTCTGCTTATTCCTCCTCTTGCACATTTTCAACCTCAGTGTCCCGTTCCAACTTCACTTTCATCCCCCCGTTTTCATCCCCTCAATTCTTTGTCCTCCACCACCTTGCTTGGATAGTCGTTTGTCTTCTAGTTTCAACTCACACACAAGCGCACGGCGTCGCTCCAATCCGGTTGACAAGTCCATGTTCAACCAAGCGGACAACGTCACGTCATCCGTTTTCCTTTGGAGTCCTCGATCTTCGTTAAGCCTGGCATACCTATACGTGGGCACTTTGCTACAGAATGGCCAACAAACAGCACTTGTCCGAACACTAGGGACCCTCTCAATTAACATTTGCTGATTATCGGAAACCCGCCTGCACGATTCGAGCTCCGTACTCAATCTGCGATCCCCCACATACGACACTGGCGGCACAGTCTCACTGCGGCTGTCTGGTAATGACGCAGCTTCAAATACAGGTCAAGCTGACGTCGGGATTGTTTTGTGTTCCCGGGGTGAATTGGCCCTGATCGACAGGATCCCTGTCAACAGCCGGATGTGCGCCGTTAGGTTGGCTGGCTCCTTCCAGGCTTTGAAGTCGCGCGGGGACAAAAGATGCCTGTTTGTCATTGTAGCCCACGCCCCTACAAACTATAGCACTGATTCGGTGAGAGGTTTTTATCTCCAACATGACGAGCTTCTTCGTTACAGAAGGAGCACGGATACTGTGGTGTTTGCTGGTGATCTAAATGCGCAAGTCGGAAGATTTTGATGACCTTCTTCTGGGCGGCCAACAAGGTGTAGGCTCCTGTAATGATAACCGTGAGCGGTTGCTACACCTGTGTGAAGATGCTCGTCACTTTCTCGCGAAAACAAACTTTCGACATAGCACCCGCAGAAGAGTGACTTAGCTCCCACCAGCCTCGGGTCAGCCATGAAAAGCAATTCGATCCCATCGCCATTAGTTACCGCTGGAGAGGCTATGTCCAAAACTGTTGCTCGATTAGTCTTAAGTCGCAACTCTTACAGTTAGGCGATGACGGAACGTATATCAGGGATTTGGCAATAACAATGTCCATAGAGAGTGATTCGCGGATGTAACATCACTGCACTCGGTCATTTGTTTGCGTATCGTGATCAGGAGAATTCAGAAGCTCGGGAACATCATGAACAATTATCGTGTTCATGCTATCGCTATTAGGAATGCCGCGTTGGTCACCTGCTGCTTTTGGGCGTTCTTTCCAAGAAAGATCGGGTATTATGTGCACCTCGCTCTGTGGGTTGCGAAGACGAACTGCTGAGAGCAGGACAGCCTCTGTCTCATCCGCTGAGTTTACTATTATCGAAGTATTCGAAGTTCTTCAAAGTGCACTGAGACTGAGTGACGCGCTAAGCGTCTCAGCATAGTAGGCTCAACCCGAATACTAATCGCACCGCAGACGGAACTCCACTGGTTTCGATGATTTAGCAACTTGCTTTGATTGTGCAAGCTTTGGACTCGGGAACCCGAGAGTTAATGCAGCGTGAATCTGTCTAGCGAGTGTCGGTTTTAAAGTTGTTACTGGTAATGTAGGATGTTTAGAAGACACCACTAGAGTTGAGCGGGAAAGCTGCGTCGCCTTGCATGTGCTCGATACAGAAGACGAACATACGCGTGTCGCTCCCGGTGTCTTTATGGAGGCAATCGATGCTTACGTTACCTGCTTGTTATCTGCACCTGCGTGCTTCTGGCTCTGAGCTGTCGGTGTCATGGTTGAATCCCCAGGTAAGCGCCCATCGTTGGAGTATTGAAAGCAGGTATTTTTGAGGCTTGTCCGTTTATGGGACTGAGGTGACCCAGAGAATTTAGAGACACAGACGCTGCAGTGCGATTGGTGAGTCTACCTCTCTTCATCGGCTTAAAAGCTTAGCTTAAGTTGGCTGATTGAGGTATTAAGGTGGCCATACCTACTTCCGAGGGAGTGGTGTTAGTAGTTAAAAAATACGCGATTATATCAGTCATCCTATCGCACTTTTTCATGAGCAAAGCTAAACGATTGACAACTGGAATGACTTGACATGTTGGACAAAACCTAATTGTGTCAGCAACTTTGTTTGTCTGTCCCACTTCTCGTAAGGATTTGCATTGCGGACAGTACGATGTAATGCAGCTATAACAGGCTACCCAGATCTTACGAATTTTACCGTAATTCTCTGAAGAACAAACTCGACGTTGCACCGTGTTTGGAATGCTGGTTACCCTGTAATCGTTAGCAGCAATGTCTATCCGAGCGGTTTTTGTGGTACTGGCCTTCACGTTTGATTAATGTTCTATGAGTCAGGCGTGTACGTGACACGCAAACACGTCAAAACAAGCACCTGTGTTGAGTGTCGTTCAACCAGCACCAAAGTCAGTCATCCGAGAAAGACGGATGTCTCACCACCTCTCTCACGCGCGATCGCACGCAGACTGCTGGGTTCAGTGGTTAAAGATCCCGCGGTTAAACGCACACACCCACACGAAACGGCGGCGTGTATTGACCGGCCTGGCTTACGCGACGAAACAGATGGGTCGTTGATAAGCCTCCCTAAGTGCCTCGGGTGCGATGTTCAGTAGATGGGCGAAGCAAAATGACTGCAAGTCTGTTATGCTGCAACCTGTACGGATGATAACAGCGTAGTTTTGGAGTCCTCAGCTTCTTCTTCAGAATAAGACCAAAATGTTTCCCGAAATGCTCAGGATGAACAATGAACTGATATATTATAGTTAAAAAAGCGATTGCTTTATAAGTCCCGTAGGATGGTTGAAGTGAAAGCAAACTTAAGTGTAAATCGTCAATTTAGCGTCTAGCGATTCAGATGCCCCTTATTCATGTAAACATTTTAGGATGTGTATTGAATTGTTACTGTACAGTAATATGGGGAAAGTATATCTTACGAACAAAAGAAACGACAACGCTTACTCGTACGCCACACTCTTGGACTGAGGTGATTGATGAATGTAGTAGTAATATATCCGAAACTATATAACACAGCAGCAGTGTGTAAGTAGTGAAGCACAACAGCTGAGAATGAGCACTGTTTGTCCTCGTTTGGTTATATATTGTAAGTGGATAAGCGAATCATCCAGACACCTTTTGAATACCGTTAGCGTGGGGGAAGAAACAACGTATGTGGGAAGAGCGTTCCAGTGTTGGCACATACGAAGGGAAAAGAAATTCCGGCGGCATTCCAAGCGGCTGTATTGTGTTTCCAGCTTTAGCTGGTGTCCTATGAGTGTGGTATTGCGATTCAGGTTTAGTAGGTGACGACAAGAATGGTTTGGATTCCTCAGGATCATATAAGTCATTATCAAGTCGCCACGCAAGCGTCGATGTTGTCCACTGTAGACCCCGAGGGTTTTCAGCCTCAATCGGTAAGGGAGATGAAACAGGCCCTTTACGTTCTTGGTCGCCCTTCGTTGTGGCAATTCAAGAGCGGTAAGTTCTTGCTTTTGCCATAGCTGCCAGGCGTGGATGGCGTACTCAGAATGAGGCCGAATGTAGGCGTTGAGCATCTGAGAAAAGATGGAAGGATGTGGTTACACACGTAGAACTCGTGTTCACCAACGAGGAACATATGTTTGATATATTGATTGTAGAATGCCATTTGGGTGGCAGTGATCGTGCAGTCATCACTTTCGACCTCATCTGCAATAATGAATATTGCCACCAGAACACTGAGGTAATGCGCACCCTTAAGCGTTACGAATGCTTAGCTCAGTTCGCCAGTCCAACAGCCTGTTTGTTCATCTCTGAAGGCCACCCGGATGTCGCTTGCCTTGAATTCGTTAGCCAATTCAATCAAATGGTTACGGATGACTCAGGGACAAGGGTTTTCAATGAACCTAAAAGTGTTTTATTTTCTTGAGGAAGTGAACTAGAAAATGGATGCCTATACGCAACGCACATCATCACCGACGCCAGATAATGGGGACAAATAGGTATCCCATCGTAAAAACTGCACTCAACTCCTCAGAGATGGCAAATTCGCATTTTAGCAGAATATGGCAAAAGCTTCCAGGGATAACCACAAGCTGCTGCATAAATATATCATTGATCGTCGTATGGTAAGGCAGGCAATTCCTCCACTCCGGATGACTGACGGTTCAACAATAACAGCTACAGAAGCGGCAAACACGTTGCGGACGCAATGTGCTCCCACATTTCTGAGGGTCTTACTAGGAAGTCATCTGCAAGCTTTTGTTTTTCCGCCTCGACGACTCACACACATCACTTTTACTGCCGAAGTTGCATCGTAGAAGCTGAGGTCACGGCGCAACCGCAGTTCCCCACGAGTCGACACTATTTGTCCAAAGGCACTGCGAGTAGAAGCAAGACAAGTGGTACAATCTTTGGCCTAGTTCTTGCAGCGTTGCTTAGACCAGAACCATATTCCTGCGATGTGGAAACTTGGCATAATAACTCAGATTCCCAAAGGCGGAAGCAGGACTGAGCCCTAAAACTACTGCCCAATGTCTCTTCTCCCTGTTTTATCCAGTCATGAAATCCATCCTTGCCGGTGCGTTGGTGGTTTATATATAAAATCGTAACATTATTGCACCCGAGCAAGACGGCTAGTGTCGACAACAATCATGCGCAACGAATTTATTAATCGCACGAATAGTTGGACCGATTCAGTTGACATTGGAGAAGCCTTTGATGTGACCTAATTGGATTTGTCGAAGGCAATCCATCGTTTAGATCATCGGATTCTCCTTTCCAAGCTCCAGTATTACGGAATCGGTGACCCCCTCTTGAGCTGGATCGCAAACATTCTCCTGCAACGACAATTGGTGGTCAGATGCCGGAGCTCCTTATACGACCCCATACCAGTCGAAGCTGATGTGCTCCAGGACTTAATTCTAGGTCAATAATTGTTTTTGGTATTCATCAGTGACCTTGCACGGAAAATCGTTTCAAAATTCCTGCTGTTTGCTGACGATATCAAGATTCAGGTGGATAACGATCAGCATTCACTTCAGGGTGACCTAGATATGGCACATCAGTGGTCAACCCGAAAGTTTGCTACAGTTCAATTTGGACAAATGCAAGGGAATCTCTATACAACATCAGAGTACCTGTTTCTAGAAGCTAGGAACGTACGTACTGCAGTGATTATCCATCGAACGCGACCATGGCGTGCTTAAGATAAGTTAAGTTGTTTCATGCAATCTGCAAAGGCATCTAAAACTGGTAACCAGCACTTCGACTTGCTTCGATGGGCGTTCGGACAAATAGACACCACAATTTTCAGACAGATGCTAAATGCGGACGTTCGCCCTCATGTCGAATACACAATCCAAGTCTGGCAACCGTGGCTGAAGCACGGCCTTGTTACACTGCCCCAGCCTCAACGTCGAGCTTCTAAATGCGTCCTTGGAATGCACCACCTTCCGTACGGGCAGAGGCTGCAATGTTTGGGAGTATTCAGCGGGCGGTATGGCCGACAACGAGGCGACTTGATTATGACGTATTTGATTGTATAAAATCCGAATCATTTATGCAGCACTTTACTGCTACGCAGTAGTAACATCAAGCCGAGAGGTCACTCCTGGAAATTAGCAGATCAGCAGAGCGGTCTGGCGTGCCGTAGAAATTTCTTTTCCATTCGTGTGTGCCAACTATGGAACGTTCTCCCCGAAGCGGTTGTTACTGCACGAATGCTAGCCATGTTTAAACGTCGGTTGGATGACGCACTCCACCACTTACATTCTGTTACTTGATGCTACTCCCCATCCTACTTCCGGGAAATGCCTCGGATATATTTTTTCAACTTTTTTAGCTATGAAACTACTCGGAGTACAGGGCTCCTACATTACATAGGTTAAGTTCATTCTTTTGACAGTGGAACTACTAACGACATTATTTCATTGACGTTATTCGATAACCCACCAGGCTACCCAAAGGGGCTTGCGAAGCAGCGCTTCTTAACCTGTATAAACCTATTGTTCATTGTGTTACCAATTGTGTTACCAGTGGGAGCCGGTGACCGATTGCTCGGTTCATACCCCTTTCCATTGGCTGGCTGCCAAACAGGGGCCCATATTCCCAGTAATTCAGCATCAAGCTGTAGGATGACAATGCTCTAGTGAGGTGAAGCAAAAGGCAGTGACTTTAGTTAGTGGCGAGTCACATTCGTCACGTCGCAGTGTTGTTAAACGGATACACGTGGCTTTGTGTGGGGAGGACGCTTGTCAGTCGAAAACCCATAACGTCATGGAACACTGCCGCAGAACCTTTCGCTGGAACGGGATAATCCCGAAGCACCCAGCTGGCACCACGAGGATGTAGTTCAGCAAGCCAATCGGTAGTTCTGCAAGCCAGCCAGTAGTTCGGCAAGTCAGCCAACTGCTGACTATGCTACTACTACTACTACTACTACTACTACTACTACTACTACTACTACTACTACTACTACTACTACTACTACCGCTTTTCTTATATAACCGGTTAAGGAATGTAGTGTCACTTCTATGAATTTCAAAATGTTTGTTTGCAGTTCACTCCTTTAAATGCACTCCTTAAAAAAGGCCTGAATATTTACTTGACTTCTGTAATCGCAGTCATCATCGTCATCATGAATACACGTTAGCTGAGAGTGAGAAACACACTTCAGCTGATGTGCCGCAATACAAAAGATAATAGATTAAAAAGTACATTACAAAAAAGATTCCAAGCAAGTAATATTATATTAACTATTATATTATGCGCTTTGTATGAGATCGGGATTGGAGGGGGAATCTAAAGGGGAGGGGGATGGACATAGAAACTCAACACAAACGCCACTGGGGGCGGCTCTTCGCCATATCAGTACGCATGTCCCATCAAACGTGTTCATCGCCCTTAGGACTCTGTAATCGCAGAGCAAATTGAGATAACTAAAGCATGTCTAATCTCTATCTTCTTCCATTTCTGTTTTGTAGTAATGGAAGACAAGGACGATACGAACGCAACGGATAAGGCGCTCAGCCTGACAATAGGAGCGGAGCGTAAGACAGACCACTGCAAATCACCTCACCACGAGTCTCAATACGATAATGTGTATCCATTGCAATACGTCTTTTATGTGGAGGACACGCCGGACAATGTCAGGGCCCTTGCAAGCGGAGGCAAAATGGCTATTTTGGCCCATGATCTTCACTGCCGCATCTACTTCCACGCACAGAGGAATGGACTAATACGGATGGGCCAAACAGACGGATTGAGATTGGAGGAAGAAAGAGTACTGGAACCGGCGTTGTACTATAAAGGCAAACGCGTGCGCCCAGTGACCGTGGTCTCACGCAACATGACTGAGTTGCGTCTGTTTCTACAAACTTTGGACGCCCACTATCCGGACTTTGAGGCCAGTGCGTTCCTCACAGATCAGTTGGTACATTTCACCCCAAGCGGTAGCGCAACGTCCAGGAGGGTTTAAAAAGTGGCTACTGTCCCACGCACGTTCTTAAATTTCCAGCGAGGCAGACATACGGCAGCGCATCACACGAATCTAAGCACAGCCTTGCAGCAAATGGCGAGGCTAATTTATGCGGTCAGTAGAAAGTTGTGTGCAAGTGCGTGTTACGTTTTATGTGATCGTACATTCGATTTCACATGTACAAGATCGTCGCAGGCAAGGGATGAGACACCCGGAATGACAAGAGGAGTGAAGACGTAAAAGGTTTAGGGAACCATCATCAATCATTTCACTGGGTCCGAAAGCTCCACAGGTCGACGGTAACAAACCAGAGTAAATAGCTTGATATATTTATCAAAACTGCTTTCTTCTTCTTTTATAGTTGTCATTGTAAGACCATTCCGTTATGCTCCGAAACACGAAAGTATTTCCAACATGGAACAAGGTAGAACAGGTTGTTGATGTTTGCAGCACACATGTTACTCGCAACTGCACAACTAGGTTACGCGTAGGAGTGTCTGCCGGGATGGATGGGTCTTTAACTGGCCTAGTATCAGTCTGTAGTAATGGGCATTGTGCCATTCAAACCCATGGAGTTAGTGATGTGGTTTCTGCTGAATGTACGGCTAACCTGCTACTACCGCGCAGCTGACTGTCGCCAGAAAATTGGTTGTGCCGCCCGGTCTGCTAACTCCGCGAGGGAATGAGAACACCAAATACCAGCCAGGACCGAGGATTGTTTTGCATGAGAGCATAGCGGAATAAATAGGTTGAAGACAGGTACTGAGCACAACAACACCGGAGGTGTTGATTAATATCAATTAGCACAACTAAAAACGGTTCAAGCTCAGGTTTAAACTTGCTGCTGACCCCATATAGATCTGCGTTTTGACCTCTGCTTGAGTTGAATCTCCGAAGGTAGATAGATCCAATCTTGCACCACGGCTCTCGGCTTGAACACTGGCTCTTCGTAATAGTCAGGAATCACAGAAAAAATAAAAGGTGCAACACTGGGAAACGAAAAACATCAACTTTTCGGCAGTTTTTCCAGGCCATTTTGTTAAGAGTTAGTGCTTTTCGAATCGGGAATTCATGCGAACTCGTGTGCATTGCTTCTGCTATATCCAGTTTTGAATCACTGCCCCCAACCTGATAGACGTACGCACTATCGATTGTTACGTAAGCTATGAATGTTTTCTCGCTCTGTCTCCAAGTGATCGGTTGGCTTCCACACGACGTCTTCCAATGCAGCCCTGGGAGCGAAAACAAAGCGCGGCGTGATAAACACTCGTTGAGAATGCGCAGGATGTGACCAACCCATGTCAGCTCAGTTAGGGAAAGACCCGTCTTGCAGAGGACTTGGTGTCTGATATTTTTATTGCGCACTCAATATTGTCACGGGCGATCATCTGGAAACGGCCATTGTCAAAGGTCGAAAGACTAGGCATGTCATCTACAAGGAGTAGCCAGGATTCACATCCCTATAACAGCACGGCACGGACACTGGTAGTATAGACTATGCCCTTCAACTCGAGCGAAATGTCGCGAAGACGGCACAAATGCCTCAAGTTGGCAAAAGCCAACCGGACTTCCGCGATTCGAAGAGACACCTCTTCTCCAATAGTGCCATCGGCAGAGATGAAGCTCCCTAAGTAGACGTAACTGCCCACGTGTTCGAGTTGTATGCTTACGAGGGTGAGTTGAGGTAGGGACTACTCTCAAACCTGTAACAGCACATTGCACTTGAAAGGGGCGAAGTACATACCATACTTAGACCTTTCAAGCACCAGTCGGTCAAGGGTCACTTGCATACCAAAAATGTTTACCGATCAAGAAGATATCATCAACATAATCTAAGTTGGCTGCGAAATCACCTGGAAGGATCTAGATATCAAAACTCTGTACCTCTTCTAATGGTTCCAACAGGGTTTCTTCAATCGTAAAGTTAGAAAGAAACGGAGACATAAGGCATCCCTGTTGCACATCACTGGTGACATGGAAGAGTGCAGAAAGATTGCCGTAAGCTCTCACTCTACCTAGAGTACGGAGGTATAGTGCCCGAAGCTAAGTCTGACTGTGACTTATCTTCTCAACAAACAACGGTTCTCACTTGCTCTGTTGGTTAACACCACGATTGTTGGTCAGAAAAGTCCTAAATTGTGTTACTTGGATGAGCTGATAATAACGAGAATGAGCATCTTTAAGAAGGTTCCGAAGCATTCGAGCTTCGAAGTGTACGCGTCGCGTAGAGGCCGCCACACTGCAATGGCCTGCCGGAGTATAAAAGCGGTGATTATCAGTGTACAAGACAATGGATGGACGAACTAAAGAGGTTGCACCAAAACTACACAATAGCAGGCTATATATATATATATATATATATATATATATATATATATACAATTTTTCAACAGTCTATTAATAGACATAGCGCCATCAATAAGCCATGAGGAAAGAAACATAAAAAACAGATGTCGGGGACAGATAACAAATATTTGTTGGGCTTCTTGACTTTTTGTTTGTTTTCACATGCTGTTTTGTTCTTTTCTGCACTTTTAATGGCATAGCTCTAATCATATTGTTCAAAACATTTAAATATACGGTTCTTCCATTGCTTCCGGTTTCGCATCATATCTTCAAGTGTGTCGAGCCATTTGCAGTCCTCATCCTTGGGGCCCCAACCAGGAAGAAGTACTGGGCCGACGATTACAAGACAGGTCAGCGACTTCCTGATTTGCCGCCAAGTGGTTGGCTGACCTCCACGCGTTCTCTTCCAATTCAATCCCGTACGAGTAAATAAGACGCAGTGTGGTAAGCGCTCGCAAGACATAAGTAGAACGTGGCCAAGCCACCTCAATTGACGCATTGCGATAAGGCGATCAAGCGGAGGGCTCATGCTTCCCAAGACTCGATACCGGACTTCCTCGTTGCGAACCCGGTGCTGCCAGCACACACGGGCTATTCGCCGCAAACATGTGTTGTCGAAGGCCGAAAGCCTACGCATGTCACCCACACAAGACGGCAAGGATTGGCTTCGGTACAGTAAGACCACGCGGACATATGCTTTGTAGTCTCTCCTCATTAAAATGAGGGATATATCCCGACAACGCCACAAATGACTCAGGTTGGTAAATGCCGACAGGACATTGGTGATGCGATGAGAGACCCCTTTCCCAATAATGCAATCAGCAGAAAACACAGTTGACGAGGTAGACAGTTGTCCAAAAGCTCTAGCTGTGTTCCTTCAATGGTGAGGGGGCAGATGACTTCCAGTCCTTGAGTAGCACTTTTCACTTCAAGGGGATGAGCGCATACCATACTTCAATTACTAGACGGTTCAAAATGAGCTGTACACTCTGTGAATCGTCACCGAGCAGAGCGATGTCATCAGCATAATCTAAGTCGGTCACGCGATTGCCAGGAAGAAGCTAAACACCAGGATTTTGGGAGCCTTCCAGAAAACTCAACAGGACGTCCTCAATTGTCAAGTTGAAGAGCAATGTAGACAAAGGACACTGTTGTCGCACACCACTAGAGATAGCGAATGGTGAGGGAAGCTTGCCAATCTATCTGACACTTGAAAGTAAAGCGCTCGAATGATAAAAGTGTACTTTTCGGGGACTCCATTTCAAAGCAAACAGTGCCAAAAAGCAGTCCGCTCGATCGAGGCAAATGCAGCTCGAATGTCCAGGAAAACGACAATGGTTGGCTTGTGGTAGAGATGAGGGGGTTCAAGGATTTGGCGTAACATGAAGATTTAGTCCACGCATCCTCGAACGGGGCGGAAGCCAGCTTGTCCTTCTCGGTAAAACAACTCGCGGATCGGGGATAGTCTGCGGAGCAGAATGGATGCCAGCATTTTGGAAACAACCGACATGAGACTTATTCCCCTGTGATTAACATATAATATGCGAGCACCTTAGTTAAATATGGGGACATTTATCGACACACTCCAGGAGGATGGAATCTTCTACTGGATGTACCAATGGGCGCCGCGGATTTTTGGATTACCGTGCTGGATTCCACATTTTCTTCCGGATTACTCTGTTATACGTGATTTTTCTGTGTGAATTATACACCAATATTTTTCTTTTGGTGTATTCTTCAATCTGTGCAAATTTGGTGGATGTTCTCTGGCTAATTTCGGAGTTCTCATTGATTAGCCCAACTGCCGTCTGTGTCCGCCATCTTGCATTTGTTCTACGGTAATCGGCCATCATGACCACCACACCGGTAACCCGAAACGAAGCATTTTGTGCTAATCAAACTTGTGCTAAGGCAGTAAAAGGAGGGTTGACTTGTACAAATTGCCAAGACCGGTACCATTCGAAATACGTCAACGTCTGTAGAACCGATAAAAAGAAATACAATACGCCGGGTTCAGTTTGGTTCTGTCCGCAGTGCACAATGATTTCACTAGTAAAATGCTTACAAGCATTAACACAAAAGTACGAAAGCCTAGTCGTCAAAACTGAACATCGTTTAATGTAAACATTGCTTCGCTCGCAGCGAAAATAGCACATCTTGTACCTCATACGTCTCCCTCAATTGCTGACTGAAAATCAAGGAAAAGGGCCAGGCGTTCAAACGGCCGCGTGGTACTCGAAACTTTGGAAACCACGAACCAAGTCGTCATCGCGACCGATAGAAGCATGTCTGGCCTCATCGCCCATATCCTCTTATCCAATGTATCGACTGATGCAACATCGGTAGCACCCACTCTTCCGATTGACCAACGAAATCCGAAGCGATCTAAAAACCGATCCACCTATGCAACCGTTGCTGCTCGGTATAATCGAAGTGCGACCTCAGTAGCCTCACCCAGTACAGCCACAAAACGAGTCAAGGATCAGGTGCAACCTGCACAGACATCACTAAATCCCTCGATAACCGTGCTTCCCACATCACCGAAGACTAGGCGGAACTACGGGGCTTTGACATATTCGCCAACGTTCCTGAGTCCAAGGCAAACTCCTTAAGGGGTAAAGAGCTGAATGATTTAAAGCAATGGAATTTCCTTTTTGATAAAATCGGAGTTCAAGCCAGTCCGACTAATATAATGCGCATCGCTAGACATCCAACCTCGAATCGTTATGGGGAGTCCCGGCTAATGCGAATAACATTGGGATCAGTGGATGATGTCGAGACGGTGCTTTTGGCAGCATACCACCTGCGAAGTGAAACAGTGGAATACGCATATTTCCGGATGTTCCATGGAGCGAACGCCAGCGGGACAAAAATAATTCAAACGACCACCACACGGAGAGTAGCAAAAGAATTAGTTTTGTTCATGGCGTGTCCGAACTATCGACAGCCAGCAACGAGGAAGCTCATGATCATGACCTGAAAGAATGGCGTTACATTCATGAAGCTCACTATGCAGACGACGTCATACTTCAGTCTATTTCAAGGTTACCCGTGTCGCCAAGCCACAGAGGCAGTGGCCTGAGGATACTGAAACTAACGGTGCAATCACAACAGATGACCGTGAGTTTAATCCGTAGCTGGCAGCTACTACGCAACACCCTTCCCTCAGAACTACGATTGAAGACAGCAGTTAGAGAGCCGCAGCCACTCGCTGTTCTCGCGGAAACACCACTCGCGACTCAATATAACCACAACAGCGATTCAGAAACCTGTGCGCTAAGACCCGTAGACATCGAGATGGCTGCCGATGGACTACATACCACAGGTGCAAGTGAGACCAAAAACTGATTACATTCCTATCGAAATCTGGCAATTCACGCAAAAAACGATTGGGTGTCGGCTTCTCATCAGTCAGCACAAATCCACATCATGTACTTCTAGTCTACAGCTTTTGACATCCGAGAAGCTTTTCTGTAGGTACACCAACGCTTAAGGCTTACTGAGTAAACTTTCCGAAATGCGGCTGCGTCAAAGATTTAAAGCCTGCGACCTCCTCGCTATAACGGAGACGTGGTTACGCCCTGACATAAGTGACATGGAGATCGCACTGCCATGCACGTCCGCTGTTCGGCACGACCGACCCAGCAAATGTGGAGGGGTGGCTGTGTACTTCCACAATGACCTCCAATGTGAGCTCATGGAAGATTCAGTCAGCACGGTGTAAGATTCCCTTTGGTGCCGTCTACGTTTAAAAGGTGACGACAATTGCTTAGTGTCGGTAGTTAACCGTCCTCCTTCCTTCACGCCAGAGGTGGACTCCCATCTGGCATCCGCAATAAGGAGGGTGATAAACACAACTTACATTCACATCCTCATTACTGGCGATTTCAATATCCACACTCTGGAATCCCAAGCAGCTCCTGGAGAACAGTTTAAGGCCAATCTACAAGAGTTCGTCTCCAGTTACCCGCTGTATGGCCAGATTAACACCCCCACCCGATTCCGAGAAAAAGACAAGCCTTCGATATTGGATCGGATATTGACCAACGTAGAACTAATGGTCGATAACGTGATCGTCGCCGTCCCATTGGGCCGCAGCGATCATGCAGCCCTACGCTTCGAATACATTTGCTATGCAAAATATCTCGTGCAAATTGTCGACGCAACGAGAACGTATGTACGCTACGACATATTAGGTCGACTAGGTGAGACAGCCAACTGGACATTTCTGGCAAACGAGGCACCAGCTAGTGCATGGGAACATTTCGTCAGCCAGTTTAGCTCTCTGGTTGACGCAGCGACAACGAATAAGACCCTCCGCCCGAGAAGTGTGGTCACGTTTCTGCGAAGCAGCACACGCAAGCGTATAGCGGTGCGAAACAGCCTGGCATATCTACTAACTCACCCCAAGCACCGAGAACTGGATGGTCTATACCTCCCAACATAACCACTGTACTCAGCTTGTTCGCGAGGAAAGAATGGCGTACCAGCAGAAATTGGCAGTGCGTATGGCATCAAACCACAAGCTTCTGTATCAACACGTCAACAGTCTAAGCAAGGTGAAACGGGGAATTCCTCCCCTCCAAACAGCGGACGGGCCCACACGGACACCGAAGGATGCGGCCAATACCCTGCGCCTACAATATGCTGCAACATTTCAGTGCGATCACTAGCCACCTGGAGATGGTTGTTTTACGCCCAAAAATCAATAACATATACTTCACAGCAGAAGCTGTGCTAAAAAAGCCGTTGAGTATACGTAAGCACAGCTTTCCTGAAGTTGATAATTTGCGCACGAAATCGATAGCGGCAGTAGAAGAGAGTTTAGCTGAGCCTTTGGTTCGATTCTCCCAACACTGTGGCTGGCTTTCCGAACTGGGTTGGCTTACCGAACTACCTTCTGGTGGTGCCAGCTGGGTGGTTCGGGTGTACCCCGTTCCAGCAAAGTGTTCGGCGACAATGTTCCACCTCGGTGGGACATTGTATTCCAGCAGGTGTGCTGACTATATGGGGAGTATTGGGCCCCTGTTTGGTAATCTACCAAACAAAGACGCATGAACTGAACATTCAGTCAACGCCTCCCAATGGGCGCGATTCCCTAAATTCGCCCCGCTGCCTTGCGGGTAGGTTATTTAGCCAAAGGCTCGGGGTGGAGTCCCCTAAGTCAACTCCCTACTTCGGCTTGGGCAACCGGGTAGTATCACGCCCTCTCGCAAAACCATGGACTGTATTACAACTTGCTCATCAGCTGCTGTTTCTGCTAGTCACTTTCACGCGAATTCATCACACGCCAATTGTTTGTTTGTTAACAATCCTCACTTTCCTTTATCTGATTCATGTGCTCAGCAATCTGACTGCGATTCCGGTTGCGCCGCAGACCAAGAGGTTCAACCCATGGCTCTCCTTCGTCCCCGATCCTCCTTCCGTCTGGCGTGCTTCAACGTTCGGACACTCATGCAGATTGGACAGCAAGCCGGTCTAGCGCGCACTCTAGATTCCCTAGACATTGATGTCTGCTGCCTTTCAGAAACCCGATTGCAAGATCCCAGCACTGTGCTTACACTGACATCCCCCACTGACCACGAAGCCAGATATCACCTACGTCTTTCTGGAGATCCAGAAGCAGCCTTAGCGGGTCTGGCTGGTGTAGGTATAGCACTAAGTGACAAGGCCGAGGCGGCACTACTGGACTGGTTCCCTATTAACAGCCGATTATGTGCAGTTCGGCTTCGGGGTTCATGTAGAATCAACAGGCACCGCGAAGAGAAACACAACTTGTTTGTGATCTCCGTGTAAGCTCCAACTGACTGCAGTGGCGACTCGGTCAAGGACGAATTCTATCGGGATCTACAACAGCTCTTGACTAATGCTAAAAAGTCGGATGTCGTTATCCTTGCTGGGGATTTTAATGCACGGGTTGGCCGCCTGTTACCATACGAACGCCACCTTGGTGGTCATCATGCGCTCGATGAGAACCGCTCTGATAACGGAGAGAGACTTCTCACATTGTGCGAAGACAACCGTCTGTTTCTTTCGAGCACTAACTTCAGGCGTACGAAGAAGCGTTCCGCAACGTGGCGTCCCCCTTCTTCAACACAACCGTGGTCTCAAATTGATCACATTGCAATTAGCTTCAGATGGCGCGGCAGCGTACTAGACTGCAGGTCCTTTTGGTCCACATTCGTTGACTCAGATCATGCTCTGGTCTGCGCGAAGATCTGTATGTGTTTTGGAGGATCCCGAAACACGAAGCACCGCAAGATTGATGTAAACAGATTAACTGATTCCTCTGTCCAGACGAGCTATCAGTCTTCATTGGCATATGCACTCAGTTGCAATCCACCGCAAGAAGTGGAACAACACTGGAGTTGTATACGGAAGGCAATGACCATTTCCGGACAGTCATGCTGCGGCCTGACTCGACGCCCATTGAAGGCTTGGATCTCTGCTCGTTCTCTGGAGCTCTTCGAACGCCGCAAAGATATATCCGCGGAATCAGATTGCAACGAGCGGCGCCGTTCTGCCAACCGGCTGCTCAAGCAAAGCCTACGCAAGGATCGCGAGACATGGTGGTCTGAACGTGCTTTAGAGATGGAGACCACTGCCCTCTCTGGCAACACTCGCAGACTTTTCCAACTCATTCGGTCCACTGGCCTCAGGAAACCTGGTGTCAGTGAGGTCATTTGTGAGGTGGATGAGTCTCCGATCACCAACCAACAGAGGCGTATGGACCGTTGGGCCGAGCATTTTCACTCGCAGTTCAACTGGCCTCCACCATCCATCAGTACATGCAGTACACGTTGTTGTCCACCCTGGCTCGTCCCTCTGAATACACCCAGCGAAGCGGAAGTCGGCCTTGAGATTCGACGCTTGAAGCGCTTCAAGACTGTCGGCTTAGACGGACTTCCTCCGGAGCTATTCAAGTATGGCGGTGTGGTGATCATTAACCAGCTGACCGCGCTGTTCGCAAAAATTTGGCATGAAGAGAAAGTGCCTTCCTCTTGGGGAGAATCAGTCATTATCCCGATTTTCAAGAAAGGCGCTCGCACTTCGTGTGCAAATCATCGCGGGATTAGTCTTATTTCAGTTGCCTCTAAACTATTGGCATCCATTCTGCTTCGCAGACTATCCCCAGTACGTGAATCATACTACCGTGAAGAACAAGCTGGTTTCCGTCCTGGCCGCGGATGCGTGGATCAAATCTTCACGCTCCGCCAGCTCCTCGAACATCGCCACATTTATCACAGGACCACTATCATTGCATTTCTAGACATACGTGCCGCTTTTGACTCCGTTGATCGACCTGCTTTATGGCGTTGCTTACTAAAGAACGGGTTGCCAGAGAAATATACCGCCATCTTACGAGCACTTTACCTTCATACATCCGGCAGAGTGAGGGTCTATGGCAAGCTTTCCTCGCAATTCACTGTCAATAGCGGTGTGCGACAGGGCTGCCCTATGTCCCCCTTCCTCTTCAACTTCGCAATCGAAGACGTTCTGTCGAATGCTCTAGAAGGTTTCCAACATTTTGGCCTAGAGCTTCTACCGGGTGAGCGCGCGACCGACGTAGATTATGCTGATGATATCGCCTTACTTGGTGACGATCCTCAGAGTATGCAACTCATTCTGGATCGTTTGGCGGTTGAAGCATCTAAGTATGGCATGAGCTTCGCCCCATCGAAGTGTAAAATACTGCTCAAAGATTGGCATTCGCCTGCTCCCGTACTCACTCTTGAAGGTGCACAACTTGAACAGGTAGATAGTTTCGTCTACCTTAGGAGCTGTATTTCTGCTGATGGCACTATCAACAAAGAAGTTTCTCTTCGTATCGCTAAGGCACGATCAGCATGTGTCAATTTGAGGCACTTGTGGCGTCGTCGCGACGTCTCATTCTCACTAAAGGGCCGCGTTTACAGTGCATCGGTTCGCTCAATATTGTTGTATGGGTGCGAGTCCTGGCCGCTACGCGTGGAAGACATGCGTCGTCTTTCTGCGTTCGATAACGGTTGCTTAAGGAGGATCGCGCGTGTTTGATGGCAACATCGAGTTAATAGTAATGACGTTCGACGTCGCATCTTGGGGAATGCGAGTATTCCCTACAACAAACTGGTTTTGTTGCGCCAGTTGATATGGCTCGGTCACGTCTTACGCATGGCACCTGAGCGTCTACCGCGTCGTGCTCTATTCGCTCGTCAAGGACCTGGCTGGAGGCGACCGCGTGGTGGTCAGCCTTCCACTTGGCGGCAGCACATGAAATCGCTGACGTCGTGTCTAGCTGCTGTTGGATCCGTACGTCTTCCAGGATGGGGACCCAGAGATGAGGGGTGCGAATGGCTTAGCACTCGTGAATATATGGAATCAGTGGAAGAATTGTGTACATTATTGTATTGATTCACATGTTTAATTCTACAAACATTAAAATGACAAAAGAAGAACAAAAGCGGCGTGTGAAAAACAAACTAAAAATGTTTTGTTCTGCTTTTTATCAAAATGTTCCATTCTTCCTGCGGCATATTAGTTGAAGTGTGTTGCTCACCTTCAACTAGCATGCCACGATGATTATGAAGCCATGAATATTGCTTATCTCCTTATCTCCATGGTTTTAGGCTGGCTCTTTGGCTAGCAAACAGACTGTTGAGAATACATACATATACATACAATACCCAACAATGTGTTGAAGTAATGTACGTGCCCGACATGTGTGAACACGGGGTGATTACTCCTGTTCACAAGGGAGGTAGTCATTCCAATCCAACCAACTATCGTCTTATAATCTTACTACCGGTTCTTTCAAAGGTCATGGAAGCTATTATTTCTGATGCGCAAACGACCTCCTTAGAAGAATTTAACTACCTCGCACCGGAACAGCATGGCTTCCGACGAAATCAATCGTGCACTAGAAATCTACTACTAGCACGATCCAACTGGATTGAAGTAATAGACTCTGGCACAGGAGTTGATGTAGCCTTCCTTGGCTTCTCAAAGTCGTTCGACCGGTTAGACCGTAACATTCTGCTCTTTAAACTCCAGATCTTTGGTATTGGCGATCTTCTCCCAGGATGGATCAGAAACCTACTTCTAGCCCTGGAAGTACGTGTGCGTGATTCGCTGTCAGATCCCATCCAAGTTGAATGCGGAGTACCACAGGGGTCGGTACTAACACTGTGTTTATTTCTGACGTATATTAACGATATCACACGCATCATAAGCTCGAACTGCCTTCTTTATGCCGATGACATCAAGGTGTGGAGGGCGATCAAAACACCAGACGATATCACAGTATTTCAAGCTCCTCTGGCTAGGGTATACGCCTGGTCAACCCAGAATTTAGTTAGACTCGGTGTGGACAAATGTAGAGTGCTGCACCTACGGCACAAGTTGGTGCACTCCTACCAACTCGGCAACCAGGAGTTTCGAATGGTTTCTGACGAGAAGGCTAGGGGAGTTTTTGTCCAGATCGACCTAGGATATTCGAAGCAGACTGAAACGGCGTCTACGAAGGGCATCCAAGATGTGGGCCTCCTGAAGCGGGCATTTGGATGATTCGACGCTTCGATTTTTCCACAACTTCTCGGCTCATACATACGGCCACATGTGCAGTACACAACATAGGTCTGGCAACCATGGCTGAGGAGAGATCTCACTGCCTTGGAGATACCCCAACGCGGGGCAACCAAGAATGTCTAGGGTCTGCATAATTCGCCGTATGAACGAAGGTTACAAGTGCTCGGGGTCTTCAGCGGACCGTATCGGTGATTGAGCGGGGACCTCATTTTCAAATTCTGAGAGATCCCAACCACACGTGTCGTTTCTTACTAGAGCTCAGTCACAAAAGCAATCTGAGAGGTCACTATATCAAACTGGCAGAGCAACACAGTCGCTTGGAATGCCGTCGGAATTTCTTTTCCGTACGCGTTTGCCGTACGTGAAATGCCCTACCAGAATCTGTCATATGTGCTCCCACGCTGGCAGAGTTCAAAGCCCAAGTTGACCGTGCACCTAATTCCCTGCATCATCTTACATGATCCATTACCCATGGATAAACACAAGTGTCTGTTAGAGTTTTCACTGGCGGTCAAATCCTAGATTTTGTTTCACCTTTTTCACCTCCTGCATGTGTACACGAGAAAGAGACCTGATTTTTACCAACACCCCATTTGCGGCGCTATATCACATCTAGTAACTTATTTACGATGGTCGTTGCTGTCCCCCGTAGCTCAGTGGTCTCAACCACGGACTGGCAACAGTCGAGTTGCGGGTTCGAGCCCTACCAGGGTCCGATGAAATGCGCACTGCTGATGATTCCCGAAAGGATGAAACGCGCATACATCGCTTTTCCAGGCATGTGGCAGATGTCTGAATGAGTCTAGATGTGACGAATTTTCACCATACCATACAACTCCCCCCACTACTCTTCTGTTATCATGGATTTACCTTGGATTTACAGTTTACACTACGTATACTTCAGTGAGTTCACTGGTGTAAACCCAATTTTGTCAACAATTTTTATATATTTTGTAGTTTCACCATAACCATCCTACGGGACCTGTTAAGCATTAGCCTTTTTACCCGTATAAAACCATTGTTCCATTGTTCTCCTCGTTCCATAGCTTGGAAAACAGCGATGTCAACTGGTTGACAAGTCTGAACAAAACAATAAGAAGGAGAGCACTGGAAGATGGCATCATTTAGTGTTGTCTGATCACTTGCAAACAGCAACATACATAGATCATGTAAGGGAAGAAAACGATCGCTTTGAATCGGTCAGAAAAAATGTACACAAACACAAAACAATG